TGGATGGATGGATGGATGGATGGATGGATGGATGGATGGATGGATGGATGGATGGATGATCTTAAATTGGACAAGATGATTGTTTACATTTTTCTTCTCTTGTTTTACAACAGAATAAAATCTAAAGTCTGATCAATTCAATCAGTTTATTTCTATTTATCATATTCACAGCACAACATCTCAAGACAATTCAACCAGATCATCCAGTCAGATTGGTTCAAAGTTTTCTATCTAAGGAAAACTAGTCGATTGCATTGAATTATTCTCTTCAGCAATCCCTCACACCAAGCATGCTTGTAACGACAGTAGAGAGGAAAAACTCCCTTGTAACAGGGAGAAATCTTCAGCAGAACCAGAACCTGGCTCAGTTAGGTCTCTTAGATCCAGACTGCTCTAGAAGTTGATCTGGATAACTTTAAAGTCATATTAACCGATTAAAAAATCCTCAAAGGAGCAGAGAACTCCAAGACACACAGTCAACAGATTCCTCTAGCATAGCCTCTGTTTTTATTAGATTTTTAAAGTTTTCTATTGAGATCAAAATGTAAATGAGAGGGATGGTAAACAGAGAGCTGGAGAAGCAGGAAATGTTGAACTTGTCCTTTAGTGAGGAAGCAGTGGGCCTGCAGACAGAGCTGTGACCTTCCTCTGAGCTCCGACCAAAACATTATCATGCATGATGAGGAGCAGCTGCAGGAGCACAGAGAGAGAAGACGTACCTGATAAAGAGCTGCTGCCGTCTGCTTCTCTCCCTGCTGCTGCAGACCTCCTCTTCCTTCCTCCTCTCCGTGTCCTATATTTCCCCTCAGCACCCGCTCCGCCGTGATGCTGAGTGACGTCACTGTTTGCTTCACACACGCAGGTCATGATGGGAATACAAAATGAGATTTTAACCGTTTGCTACTGTTAGCTCATCTTTATCCTCACGCTCACCAAAAGCTACATCCTAAACACAGGAGGTCTAAATAAATCCTGCAATTTGTTCAGGTGAAAAACAGCAAACGGCTGAAATGTAAAGGAAACAGAATCACTGGAGAAACAGTTTCCAAACAGGAAAGAGCAGAAAGAGCTTTAAATATAAAGGGGAAAGAAGATTCCCTGCAGCATCAGTCCCCCCACCCCCCAGGCGGGTTCAGTTACCAAGCAACAGAAACATCAGAAGGAAAAAGACCATGCCGGTGTGTGTGTGTGTGTGCTGTCAGTCATAAGCTATTGTTCTGACCCGTCCACTAATGGTCACACAACTTCTCACACCAAACACTGAAGCTGCACTGGAAAAAATCAAAATCTAGATAAGTGATTTTTTTCTTAAACAAACTCCATTTGTTCTTGGAGTTTAGGAGGTAAAAGAGACATTTTGCCAAGTAAAAATACTCGTTCTATTGACAAACTATCTCATTTACCTACAGAAATTGAGGGTAAATATGTTTAATTTAATTTAAGACATTTTCACCTTTTTCTAGAATGTTTTTTTCCAATATGAGGAAAACTACCCGATAACAGCAGGTTTATTTCATGCTGATCTTTGCAAATGAAAGATTGCAGCTATGATCCTATTTCATACATACTGCAAAGAAATTACATTTTAAACATTGCTTTATAGACATTAATGCAGTCATTTTAAAGGAAAAGTCTGGTCAGCAAAGAATACATTGCAAAAAATGGAAATCTGAATAAGTCATTTTTGCTCAAATTAAGTGCATTTTTTCTTGAATTGAGGAGGTAAGTGCGACACTTTGCCAATGGAAGAAGACAATTTACATTTAAAATAACAAAAAAAAAACAATCGCTTTGTCTTATTTCAAGTGTATATTATCTAATTATCTTATTTTAAGAGTAAAGATACTAATTCCATTGGCAGATTATCTTATTTACCTGCTCAAATTAAGTGTAAACACACTTAATGGCAGCTGGATGCTGGAATACATCGGTTAAAAGCTAAAAAGATTAGTTATTCCACCTTTCCGATTCCTGATCCTCCACGGACGGGTTCGTCATTGGATTGCCAACTTGAAGAGGGAGGATTTACCATTGAACTTCTGGCTATAAAGAAACCCGTAATATGTAGCCAACAT